AAGGTTGTGGGTTTGCTCTCTGGCGGAGCCAGACTTTTTTCAAAAATGACCTTGGCTCCCAGGTCGACCCAGCCTTGAGTGGGTACAGGGTGCAGTCCTGGAAAGTAAAGGTGGTTGGCATGATGCTGACCACATCCCCCGTCTTGTGCCATTTGTCTTTAAAATATAGGTCTAGCCCTATATACCCAAAATGTCTGAAAGGCGTGGAAAAGGGTCGTTTACTTTACATAAAGGTAAACTGATGTCACTTTAATTACTTTTGTCTCCATTGTGACTTCTCATTGATCTGTTATTAATATCTCTAATACAATTGTGTTTTCATAAGTGATTTATTATCTGACTTTTGATGCTATATTTATTAAATCATCTGTTTTTCTTTCATGTCATCACTATTCTTACTTAGCAGAATAACTGGGATAATAGTCTGCAAAATCGAGATCACCTCCATTTGTGTGTTCTTCACACAGTCAGTGCCAGTATTTCCTATCACCCATCAATTGTTATTCCATATTGTTACGTACAAGATTCTTTACTCTGAAAAGTGACAGGTAGGACTTTTATATTATAAACACATATTTATCAGATTAAAAACATATTTATCAGAATATCTGTGAGTAATGAACATATTATTTATTGCTCATGGAAATGTTAAATCTGTTTTGAATTGTTTTAAGGCAAATTGAACAACTGAAGGAAGAAAACCCAACAAAACAAGTGCTTCTTGTTGTGTTTGACACTGACGTTCATGTCAAAAGTGGAGGAACAACAGAGACTTTCCCTGTATTTCAACAACTAGAGAGGAAATCATTCCAGGAACTTCTTCAGTTGGGTGTGGGTCTTTCAAGAGATTATCCGTTAAAGAGCATTGAAGAATCATTTGAGTAAGTCCTTAGGTTAACTTAATATGACTGGCTCAATCTGCACCATGTTTTAAACTAGTAGTAGTGGTTTTTACTGAGACGTTTCGAATGTGATTAGTAATTCGTGATGCAGGGTTTTATCCCAGCTCTGGTCCTTGCAGTGGTTTCGACAGTGGTATCGTGAAGCTGACCATCCAAAATGGAATGGAATGGCAAACTACTGGACATAAACTTGCCTAGAAAAACCAGAAAAGCCACTCAAAAAAAATGCTGATGTTGGTTCTGCAACGTCCTGTAAAGGATACCCAACTGACTTTGAGTGGTTTTACTATTGATATAAATAATACCATGTTTAACACCTGAGGCCTATTATAAGGAAAAGCAGTATTGTTTCAGACAATTTTTATTTTTGTGAGACTTTTAGTTTTTTTGATATATCACATATATCAAATAGTGGTATTCTCATTATGTTACATATCAGTTTGTATATTTAGATGTATGTGTCCAAGTTACAGCATTTTATGTATAAGATTTCAAAAGCAGTTACACATACATAATTTGACAGTTGCTATGTAACTAACATCTCACTTCTTTTATTTTGTTAAAAATTTAATGAAATTATGTCAGACCACTTCAGCTGTACAACAATGAATTTTGGAAAGTGGATATACCAGTAACAGCTTTGTGGCTTTGAATAATGTGTGTGCACACATGGTACTACTGCATGTGTATTTATATTTATGTTTTAGATTTGAAAAAAAATGTTTTTAAAAAAAGTTGTACATTTCATGCCCGTTTTGCCAGGCATATGATTTTAGGCCCATATTTGTTTATAGACCAATCCGTGGGTCTATTCTAGTTTTCCCCACAAAGTGACCCCAGAACCTACCCTTTGTTATGACACACACAGTTATACAAATTATTTAAAATAAGTGTCAAGACATAGCTTTTTAAAATGCTTTATTCGGTGCTCATCCACAGGAAGCGTGTCTGTGGCTTAGGCGTTGCGGGTCCAGCTTTTAATTCCAACATACTGCAATTGAAACCCACTACTAGTGTGTAGTTGTCACCATCCTGCCAGCCACTTTTACTTTCCACACATTTCCAGGCTCCCATTTCAGCCTTGTTTTATCTGGTAAAGATTCAAACATGACACCTTTAGGCTGGGAGGTGATGAGCCTCTAGCCGTAACTCAAACACAACTACTGTATGTGTATATATTACAGGGCTTTTTCTTTCTTTCTAGAATATAAGTGCCGGTACTCACCACAGTGTCTAACAAAGGCTTCTTTCTATGTGTGCCGTTCACAATACTTTCTGTTACTTGATTAAATGTCTAACAAAGGCTTCTTTCTATGTGTGCCGTTCACAATACTTTCTGTTACTTGATTAAATGTCTAACAAAGGCTTCTTTCTATGTGTGCCGTTCACAATACTTTCTGTTACTTGATTAAATGTCTAACAAAGGCTTCTTTCTATGTGTGCCGTTCACAATACTTTCTGTTACTTGATTAAATGTCTAACAAAGGCTTCTTTCTATGTGTGCCGTTCACAATACTTTCTGTTACTTGATTAAATGTCTAACAAAGGCTTCTTTCTATGTGTGCCGTTCACAATACTTTCTGTTACTTGATTAAATGTCTAACAAAGGCTTCTTTCTATGTGTGCCGTTCACAATACTTTCTGTTACTTGATTAAATGTCTAACAAAGGCTTCTTTCTATGTGTGCCGTTCACAATACTTTCTGTTACTTGATTAAATGTCTAACAAAGGCTTCTTTCTATGTGTGCCGTTCACAATACTTTCTGTTACTTGATTAAATGTCTAACAAAGGCTTCTTTCTATGTGTGCCGTTCACAATACTTTCTGTTACTTGATTAAATGTCTAACAAAGGCTTCTTTCTATGTGTGCCGTTCACAATACTTTCTGTTACTTGATTAAATGTCTAACAAAGGCTTCTTTCTATGTGTGCCGTTCACAATACTTTCTGTTACTTGATTAAATGTCTAACAAAGGCTTCTTTCTATGTGTGCCGTTCACAATACTTTCTGTTACTTGATTAAATGTCTAACAAAGGCTTCTTTCTATGTGTGCCGTTCACAATACTTTCTGTTACTTGATTAAATGTCTAACAAAGGCTTCTTTCTATGTGTGCCGTTCACAATACTTTCTGTTACTTGATTAAATGTCTAACAAAGGCTTCTTTCTATGTGTGCCGTTCACAATACTTTCTGTTACTTGATTAAATGTCTAACAAAGGCTTCTTTCTATGTGTGCCGTTCACAATACTTTCTGTTACTTGATTAAATGTCTAACAAAGGCTTCTTTCTATGTGTGCCGTTCACAATACTTTCTGTTACTTGATTAAATGTCTAACAAAGGCTTCTTTCTATGTGTGCCGTTCACAATACTTTCTGTTACTTGATTAAATGTCTAACAAAGGCTTCTTTCTATGTGTGCCGTTCACAATACTTTCTGTTACTTGATTAAATGTCTAACAAAGGCTTCTTTCTATGTGTGCCGTTCACAATACTTTCTGTTACTTGATTAAATGTCTAACAAAGGCTTCTTTCTATGTGTGCCGTTCACAATACTTTCTGTTACTTGATTAAATGTCTAACAAAGGCTTCTTTCTATGTGTGCCGTTCACAATACTTTCTGTTACTTGATTAAATGTCTAACAAAGGCTTCTTTCTATGTGTGCCGTTCACAATACTTTCTGTTACTTGATTAAATGTCTAACAAAGGCTTCTTTCTATGTGTGCCGTTCACAATACTTTCTGTTACTTGATTAAATGTCTAACAAAGGCTTCTTTCTATGTGTGCCGTTCACAATACTTTCTGTTACTTGATTAAATGTCTAACAAAGGCTTCTTTCTATGTGTGCCGTTCACAATACTTTCTGTTACTTGATTAAATGTCTAACAAAGGGTGTTGGGAAAGTGTGTACTTAAGTAGCATTGAAAAAAGAAACCTAAACATTTACTGTGTATCTTTGCATACCATGAGAAAAATAGTTTTGTATATATCATCTTTCATGTACTGATGAACATCACATAGACTCACATTTGATTCTTCCACTCTGTTCTAATACATGCGACTCTCTGTTTCTCACATGGAGTTCAGCCCAGCGTTTTTAGCTTCTCGTAAAAACATTCTTCTTAATGTTTCTTTTGTATGCCTTCTTTTCTTAGACAGTGTGTTTTCAATTTTAGTGCATGTTTTATAATTTTTGCTCATTTTGTTTCAGATCGTGCCCATTATGTATAGCTCCACTTTCGTCTTATTGTAGTCGCTAAAAATATTGGTTCAGACACTTCTCTGATCGCCTCACTTTTTAAAAATTGCTTGCAGCTCCAGATTTGTCTCCTTGTGATTATTTTCTATTCCTAAAATTAAAGTTACGATTGAAAGGAGGCTTCCTTAACGATATTGACGACATCTAAAGGGCCATAACATCAACTCTAAACAAAAGAAGAACTACAGAGGTCATTTCTGTGTTTATTAGATCGTGCCACTTGCTGTATCAACGCAAAAGGGGCTAATTTTGAATAAAATAGAGGTTATATCTTGAACTGTTGATTATCTTAATTTTTTTTATGGAATTAGTCTCATTACCTAATTGTCGGACCTTGTGTGTATATATATATATATTAATTATATCTTTAATAACTGATATATCTGTATTATTTTATGAATACTCCACCAAACAGATCAGTAAATCAGGCTGTTACATACTTGAGAGCTGATTCTTCCACTGCACTTGGCCCAGCGCTGTCTATCTGTGCTGGGTTTGTCAGTAACATACCTGGATCAGAAATTGTTCTCTGCACAGATGGAGAGCCAAATGTTGGCATTGGGAGTCATACCTCAAGAGGTTTTGATCGTGAATTTTATAGAACCGTAAGTTGTGTACTGGAGTTTTTTATGAGATGTTTCAGAATAATGCACTGTAAATCGCAATGATTTCTTGTAATTTTTTTTAACTACAAATGAGGTAAAAACAGTTTCAGATTCTTAGCAAGTGGGTTACCTTCAAAACTGCTCCATTTGTGAAAGCAAAAACCACACTGAATGTCCATCACTGCCCTTTGTGGAAAAATTGATACCGTCTGCAGTCTCAGCAAATCAGTACACACACATTCAGGGCATAAGACAGCTGTCAGAAGTGCCAACACAGTTTAATGCTAGGAATGCAGTTTATCATTGATGGAAGCAGCAGTTACAGTTGTACACGCGGTTAACTGCATAAGGCACTATCTGTGGCAACAGGCCGTCACTATTTTCTGAATCTACAGTTCACAATACAAACCACATTGATGCAACCAAATAAGAATCATACTTGCTACACAAAATTTCACATTACCTGTTGTTTTGTTGTCACTTTTCCGTCTTTCCAGACAACAGGGATCCATGGTGCTATAGGAAACCAGCGAAATATATCCCATGATGGTGGGAAACGATGTTAGCAAGACCAGCTCATGTCAAGAAGTATAAGCCACAATAAGTGTTTAAAATTTCACCACCCTTGTTATTATCACACTTTTTTTACATGTCTCTCTTAATTTATGTGTTTCTCTTCTTTTCTGTCTGAACAAATAGGAAGTCTTTGACATGTTAATCCTGAGTTATGAGTTGCATTATTTTCACAGCACTCATAACCTACCATGTTACACGATTAAGCAGGATTTTTTTTACGGCCCATAGGGATTCTTCAATGGCTCACCGGTGGGCCATGGGTTGAAGATCACTTCTTCTCTATCCAAGAATGATGCCTATATGCAGATTCTATATATATAATTGTTGATATTCTTTCATTATCGTGTTTCAACAGCTGTAAACTACAACTGAAAGTTCTGGTTGTTTGTCCACTTCTGGACTTTAGACTTGTTCAGGAACATGTGTTGCATGCACATCCGTTTTACAGATGCAGAGTCTTGGTTCCTTGCTTCTCAAGCAATGCAGTTGGTTGACTCTTAGGACATGCTCGTTGGTGAGGCAGTGGGTCTCTTCTAGTTTTCCCCACAAAAGGACCCTAGAACATACCCTTTGTTATGACACGCACAGTTATACAAATTATTTAAAATAAGTGTCAAGACATAGCTTTTTAAAATGCTTTATTCCGTGCTCATCCACAGGAAGCATATCTGTGGCTTAGGCGTTGCGGGTCCAACTCGTAATTCCAACATACTGCAATCGAAACCCACTACTGGTTGCATGGATTTTTATCATAGTATGGGGCATAGCAGGTCGACCCAGCCCAAAATGGGAACCAGGATGGATGTCCTGGGGAAGTAAAGATGGCTACATTACCCACCTGGTGCTAATTAGTCTGTAAAAATATGGGTGCTCTTTCCATATGCCCAGTGCCCCTAGAAGGCCTGAAAAGGGATCTTGACTTTAACTTGACTTACATCCACAGGTAGGTGACTATGCTCGCTCCAAGGACATAACCATTAACATACTGGCTGTCGGGGAAGACTCTGTTCAGCTGAGGACTGTCAGTGAAGCAGCAGAGAGATCAGGAGGCTTAACGAATCGTTTGAATCCTGTTGAAATGATGAGACAGCTGCGTTTGATTGCACAGAATGTTGTGATTGCCTACTCAGTGTCTGTTAGATTTTATCTGCATCCAAATTTCTTCTTTGATGAGATCGGTTTTCCAGATGTAAGTATTATTGTCACTTTAAAAAAAAAATTGCTCCCTCTTTTCCCCCTAGGCTTCATTCTGTAAGGTTAACATCTCATGGATACAAATCAGAATGGGTACAGATCCTGAAAACCCAGTTCAACCCATTAGTTAAATTGGAACACTTTACGGTTACAAAGTAACCTGCAGACCAGTATGGGTTAGAGTTTACTATTGTCGGCTTTAATCTCATTCACTACCATTTTAATGCAGTTGACTACTGCCGTTGGCTAGTAAACTAACATGAAGATGGGCACAGGATATTGTTAATACCTTGGCCAGGAAATTGCGCAAGCGGGAGAGCTGGTGAGAGACTTGGTTTCTTTCAGGCAGACCATGGTGGGAACGACGCTCTGCAAACAACCTGTTACATGATGATGATTATGAATTAACTGAATCAGTTGAAGAAGTGATAATTGGAACTCTTTTAGATGCACCTGTTATTAGTTTAGAGCAGTGTTTCCCAAACTTTTCTTATGTGGGGTGCCTTTTGTTTAAATTAAAATTTGTCCATGGCGCCCTAACCTAGCTTAAAGTATGACTAATCGTATGTAAGAAATTAAAAAACCCAATAAAACTAAAGTATCTTCAAATATTTCATGGCACCCCTGTGAAGAGGTCACAGCTCCCCAGGGTGCCATGACGTACAGTTTGGGAATCACTGGTTTAGAGTAATAATTGTTTAAAATAGAACATGTTGAAAAACTGTCAGGTACTTTCCAGTAATTTATACTCATTTGGTTTATTATGAACTGTATACTGTCTCAGTAGCAGGTTTGTCTTCCTTGCATTTTAAACTACGTACATACATAAAAAAAAATTTTCTTTTAATTTCAGAACCTCAGTAGACTGGACAAGGAGGTGGGAAATGTCAGGAAGGAGACAGAGCTTACATTTAGATATAAGCCAAATGATGCCAAAAAATCTGACATTCAGCAAATGTCATCAGTACCTTTCCAGGTATGAGTACAAATGTGTATTTTAAACCTGTTATGTTGTTCTGTTTGGTAATTTGTGAGTCTTTTTAGTGCTTTCTACAGAACTATTCAGTGTGTTTCCATTGCAGTGTCAGTTGTCCACTTCAGTTCCTATTTTATCAGCCCTATATTCTTGGTTGTTAAATAAATATTATAATAATTCCAGTATACTGTGCAATGAGAGAGAGAGAGAGAGAGAGAGAGAGAGAGAGAGAGAGAGAGAGAGAGAGAGAGAGAGAGAGAGAGAGAGAGAGAGAGAGAGAGAGAGAGAGAGAGAGCTACACAAATATTTAAATACCTAGGATACACAAAACATCAGATTAGAAATATAACACCAAGGCAAGAATAGATTGTGAATAGACAAACAGACTTATCATGACAGGCACAACATATTAAACAGATAAAATTTAAACTTTGTATGCTTTCTTTAAATAGTTATGGGATCTAAAAATATTAGTTTGATGACATAACATTACATATTTGTATTGGTTAGTTCAAACACAACATATTTTATACTTAAAATTGGCAAATTTAATTATCAGTGTTTGGCTACTTGAGTTTAGAAAGTGTTAAAACATCCAAAGCAGCACTTACAGTGATGACCAGCACTTACAGTGAGGACCAGCACTTACAGTGAGGACCAGCACTTACAGTGAGGACCAGCACTTACAGTGAGGACCAGCACTTACAGTGATGACCAGCACTTACAGTGATGACCAGCACTTACAGTGAGGACCAGCACTTACAGTGAGGACCAGCACTTACAGTGAGGACCAGCACTTACAGTGAGGACCAGCACTTACAGTGAGGACCAGCACTTACAGTGAGGACCAGCACTTAGTGAGGACCAGCACTTACAGTGAGGACCAGCACTTACAGTGAGGACCAGCCCTTACAGAGATCACCAGCCCTTACAGTGATGACCAGCCCTTACAGAGATGACCAGCCCTTACAGAGATCACCAGCCCTTACAGTGATGACCAGCACTTACAGAGATGACCAGTACTTACAGTGATGACCAGTACTTACAGTGATGACCAGCCCTTACAGAGATGACCAGCCCTTACAGAGATCACCAGCATTTACAGTGAGGACCAGCACTTACAGTGAGGACCAGCCCTTACAGTGAGGACCAGCCCTTACAGAGATCACCAGCACTTACAGTGAGGACCAGCACTTACAGTAAGACCAGCACTTACAGTGAGGACCAGCACTTACAGTGAGGACCAGCACTTACAGTGAGGACCAGCACTTACAGTGAGGACCAGCACTTACAGTGAGGACCAGCACTTACAGTGAGGACCAGCACTTACAGTGAGGACCAGCACTTACAGTGAGGACCAGCACTTACAGTGAGGACCAGCACTTACAGTGAGGACCAGCACTTACAGTGAGGACCAGCACTTAGTGAGGACCAGCACTTACAGTGAGGACCAGCACTTACAGTGAGGACCAGCCCTTACAGAGATCACCAGCCCTTACAGTGATGACCAGCCCTTACAGAGATGACCAGCCCTTACAGAGATCACCAGCCCTTACAGTGATGACCAGCACTTACAGAGATGACCAGTACTTACAGTGATGACCAGTACTTACAGTGATGACCAGCCCTTACAGAGATGACCAGCCCTTACAGAGATGACCAGCCCTTACAGAGATCACCAGCACTTACAGTGAGGACCAGCACTTACAGTGAGGGCCAGCCCTTACAGAGATCACCAGCACTTACAGTGAGGACCAGCACTTACAGTGAGACCAGCACTTACAGTGAGGACCAGCACTTACAGTGAGGACCAGCACTTACAGTGAGGACCAGCACTTACAGTGAGGACCAGCACTTAGTGAGGACCAGCACTTACAGTGAGGACCAGCACTTACAGTGAGGACCAGCCCTTACAGTGAGGACCAGCCCTTACAGAGATCACCAGCCCTTACAGTGATGACCAGCCCTTACAGAGATGACCAGCCCTTACAGAGATCACCAGCCCTTACAGTGATGACCAGCACTTACAGAGATGACCAGTACTTACAGAGATGACCAGTACTTACAGTGATGACCAGCCCTTACAGTGATGACCAGCCCTTACAGAGATGACCAGCCCTTACAGAGATCACCAGCACTTACAGTGAGGACCAGCACTTACAGTGAGGACCAGCCCTTACAGTGAGGACCAGCACTTACAGTGAGGACCAGCCCTTACAGAGATCACCAGCCCTTACAGAGATCACCAGCCCTTACAGAGATCACCAGCACTTACAGTGAGGACCAGCCCTTACAGTGAGGACCAGCCCTTACAGTGAGGACCAGCACTTACAGTGAGGACCAGCACTTACAGTGATGACCAGCCCTTACAGAGATGACCAGCACTTACAGTGATGACCAGCACTTACAGTGATGACAAGCACATCTCTCTATCTGGACTGACGGACATGGGGGTGCAAACTGGAGCTGCAAAAAATGAACATTCTACTTAGGGAACAAGACATTTCTTTAAACGACACAGGAGTCATCAGTAGTTTGTGGAGCTTTTGACGAGGAGATTGGAGCACCTATGAATCCGTCCTGATTGCTGTGATGATAATGCTTAGTAATAGTTAATCACTAATTCAATGCAAAAATGGTAAAAGATTGATAAAAATGAAATATTGCTAAGTTTAGGGGGGAAAAAACTGTAATTGCAAGTAAAAAAAACAAACACTAGATTGCTAAATAATGCCTACTTGAATTAAAAATAATAATTAATAATCAGATTTACTATCTTACTGGATTAGTTTTATAACCTTTTATTTTTTTTGCATTAGATTCAGATTACGTATACACGCCTTGATGGCATGAGGTGCTTGCGAGTGCTGAGCAAAGCTGCTCCCACAACTACCAGCAGGAAGGAGATGGAAGAGGTAAATACAAATACACACATTGTTTATTAACTCTATAATAAATATTGCTTCTGTTTAGTTTTTAGAAATAGTGCTGTGAGGGGGGAGCAGGAAATCTGGCAGATGCTCAGCACTCAAGGGAAAGGTGAGATGGACATACAATTAGACTGTTGCTGGTGCCATTCTGCGCTTGTTGCTGAAGATGGGGATGAAGCGCTCATGGAAACCTCCTGAGTGCCCTGATTTTAATTCTTACTTCAGCATTCTACATTTAACATAGTTTATAGAAAGTTGTTATTTACCATATGGAGGTTATTGTTCTGGACATGAAAATAGAGTTGCTGAAAGAAATAATAAAGAGACAAGTAGAATATTTCAGCCATATTGAAAGACATAACTCTATATTTAAAAAAAAACACACACACCACAGTGAGTAAACAGATGGAGATAGCAAGAAATAGAAAGACAAGTGGGACATCATCAATAAATGGGCAAACATCTGAGTGTACAAGCAAGGCAAGAGACAAGACAAGTGGGACATCGTCAATAAATGGGCAAACATCTGAGTGTACAAGCAAGGCAAGAGACAAGACAAGTGGGACATCGTCAATAAATGGGCAAACATTTGAGTGTACAAGCAAGGCAAGAGACAAGACAAGTGGGACATCGTCAATAAATGGGCAAACATCTGAGTGTACAAGCAAGGCAAGAGACAAGACAAGTGGGACATCGTCAATAAATGGGCAAACATTTGAGTGTACAAGCAAGGCAAGAGACAAGACAAGTGAGACATCCAAAAAATGGGCAAACATCTGAGTGTACAAGCAAGGCAAGAGACAAGACAAGTGAGACATCGTCAATAAATGGGCAAACATCTGAGTGTACAAGCAAGGCAAGAGACAAGACACAGTGATGTGTACACCAATAAATGGCAAACATAGTGTAGTGTTTGCAATTTGTAGACTCATCTTAAGTCTCATCACATCGTAATAAATTCAACAACAGATCTGAGTGCCACAATGTCATCTAATTTGGCCTCAAGCAAGACAATACCCAAGTTTTGACATCGTTATTGCTTCAATCAGGCATCTGTTATGATCTTCTGGGTCTCAAAGAGTTAATATGTTGTTGTAATAGTTTGTTGTAATTGCTTGTTTTAATAGTTTGCTTTAATAGTTTGTTGTAATAGTTTGTTGTAATTGTTTGTTGTAATTGTTTGTTGTAATTGTTTGTTGTAATTGTTTGTTGTAATTGTTTGTTGTAATAGTTTGTTGTAATAGTTTGTTGTAATAGTTTGTTGTAATTGTTTGTTGTAATTGTGTTGTAAATGCAAACATTGTGTTGTTGTAATAGTTTGTTGAGACAAGTTTGTTGTAATAGTTGTTGTAACAGCAAACCTTAACTAGTGTTGTAACAGTTTGTTGAAATAGTTTGTTGTAATAGTTTGTTCAGAAGTTTTTGTTCAAAGAGTTTGTTGTAATATGTTAGTTGTATGTTTGTTAGAAAGTTGTTTCTTTGTGATTGTTTGTTGAAATTGTTTGTTACCCAACTTGACAGAAGATACATTTGGAGAGTACTTTGTGTAGGTGTTAAATTGTCTTAACTCTTTCAGTCCCAAACTACATACCATGTGTACACGATATTACTCCTGTGCACTAGTCATGTTTTGTATATTTGTACATCTTAAATCTCATCAGGCAAACTAAATCATTTCAACAACACCAGTCACCCACAATGTATTTGGACCTTGTGGAAGCAGTATACCCATGCTTTTGTCATCATTATTGCTTCAATCAGGCATCTGTTATGATCTTCTGGGACTCAAAGAATTAATAGGTTGTTGTAATAGTTTGTTGTAATTGTTTGCAGAACATTGATGTGTCAGTGATGGGAGCTGCAGCCATGAAATCAACAGCCTACATGACCAAAGCTGGAAAGTCACGTGAGGCACAGCACCATTTGTGAGTTCATTTTTTAATATAATGTTTTTTCACATGCATGCTCCAAGTAATTTTATTTCAGCAAGGTATTTTGTGGAAAGAACATACAGACTGTCTGTCATCATCATCCTCTTCTTCTCTTTACGTACTCTTTTACCGCTTCTGGTGTCAAGGGAGATAAAAGGTCCTGCTTCAAACTCTTCTGGCTGCTTTGACCATAGACACATCCTAGTTGTTAAATCTATCTGATACTATCTTCCCATCTTGTTCTTGGTCTACCTCTACGTCCCTCTCCTCTTTTGGTAAATGCCTTGTTTGGTATAGCATCAGAAGACATTCTATCCAATGAGCAAACCATTTGATTTTCTGTCTTTCCACTCTATACTTCACTTAATCCTAGCAATCCCCTACTTTGTCCTGTTACAACTTCTCATGACAAGGACATGGGTTGACAAGGACATGGGTTTCTGTCATCATCTTGCTGTTTGATTAGTTTGATTAGCCAGGTTCAGCCACTACCTAGGCAGCTAGCCTTTCCTAGATAGCAATGACTATAATTATGGCTCTTTATTGTCCTGTTGTTTCATTGTGTATTTTTTGGTGTTGGGGATTCTAGTCTCCCACGTCTGTCGAGTCGCGTCTTCTGTGTGTTGAGTGTAGGGCTATCGTCTTAGTGCTGGTTGGTTTATTTGGGGCTTGCCATCTTGCCGAATGGTATTATCTCTGCCATTGGTTGGTTGTCTTCTACACCATTTGCCTGATGTTACTGCTATTGCGGTAGTCATGTTGAAGTCAATCAGGTAGTCTCATCATCATCATCATCATCATGTTGTGCTTCCGCTCTGTTTTGTCCTGTGCAGTCTTCTTGATATTGTGGATGGCCTATCAGCAATGTTAATCTTTGGGTTTCTCTGGCTTTCCTGGTTTCCTCAAGCCATTTATTTTTCATTTCACTGCCTGTTTTGTGGTTCTTTGTTTCTCCTTTTGATGTGCTGAATATATTTTCCTCATCATCAGTGACTCATAACTGATGGCACAAGCTGTTGTCAAGACATTTCTCTTATTTCTTCACCTTTCTTTGAATAGGGTTTATGGATGTAGTATTAAATTCAAATATACCTGGTTTGATTTGATTGAGCTGCAGGTTATTTGTACTGAAATCTAACAAGGTATGAGTGTCAACTGTTCAGAGAGAGTAAAGGCAAACTACTGAACTTAAAATGACCTAGCGAAACCACAAATAGCCAGCAAAAGTTGGGAATTGGTTATTTGCATCGACAAAACAAAACATCCTTCTGATGATGATAATAAAATAGACTGCCTGTATTTTCATGGAAATCATGTCATGTTGCTTAAAACTGGCTGGTTAGTTGAACAGTCAAACATTCGGCAGTGCATACATTTTAACAGTTGAATTGCATACCATTTCAAGTCCTTTTTTTTTTTTCTCTTAGCGTTTTTTACAATAAACTCCCAACAGAAATTTCTGGTTTTTCATCAATTTCTGGACTCTGGTCTTGTTTCAGAACTTTAGTTTTACATGTACATCTGTTTAACAGATCTGGCTTATTTGTACGCAGATTGTTGGTTCCTCACCTTTCAGCAGATTCACTCAAATATTTCAAAGAAAACACAAACTAGTTAGAGGGGCAGTGGGACTATTCATCCCCCCCCCCAGTCCCATTAGGGCATCTTTTCACAATATGTTGGTAATTAACTCTTTGAGTCCCAGGGGGGTTTAGCATCAGAGGCCCAAGGGGTGGTAATTTAAATTTAAATTTTAATTTTTTAATTTTTTTTTTTTTTATATTACAAGTGTGAAACATTGTCCATTACTTTACACTGAATAAATCTGTTCAAATCACAACCCAGAGGGTGTTAACAATATAATATTTCGAATAGTAATGATACAAATTAATAAATATCTGGGACAAAATGTCAATATGATATAGAAAATAGCAAATTTATACCCTGTAAATACAAAAGAGACTATTACCTTGGCTCTCAGGTCAAACCAGCCTTGAGAGGGTAGCAGTGGGTACAGTCCTGAGAAGTAAAAGTGGCTGACATGATGCTGACCACAGCACCCACTGAGTACTAATTGGTCTATAAAATAAAGGTTCCCTGTATGCCCAAAGGCATGTAAAAGATCTTTTATTTACTTTACTTTACTGTATTAGGCGTTATGCTTATGCCGGGGTGCCGGTTACGAAGCTGCGGGCACACTTTTGATTAATCGAGAAGCCGGGGTGCAAACCTGGATGTAAAACGAGGGAAAACCACAACAGCCGAAAAAATGCTGGGTTGGCTGCAGGCCTGAATAGGATCTAACTATTTGCGTTGCTGTTTTACCACTTTTACTAGTACAACACTGCAGTAAGCCTGATGTTTACCACTTTTGCCATTCAGGAAGCAATGGCAAACTACTGGACGTAAACTTGCCTAGGAAAACCACAACAGCCAAAAAAATGCTGGGGTTGGTTCTGCAACATCCTGTATAGGATACGCAACTAACTATTAATGCTGCTACTATTACTGATGCTGTTGCTACCACTTTTACTTTTTCTACTACAACACTGCAGTTACTGCCTATGTTTACTAATTTTGCTATGTCAGCAACTGCTATTACTGTTTTTGTAAATTGTAATACATTCAGGAAGAACGTGAAACGGCTGGTTGCTCGCGGTGCACGCACTGTGCCACAGCAACAGGAGAAAGCTTGCTTTTGAAAGTAAGATGGCAAGCTGGGACGTTATGTTGACGGAGGATCAAGAGAAGCTGGTAAGTGGGATTACATTGGTGTGTTAGTAATCGATGGTGTGAGTGTTGTATGTGAATGTGCATCGATGCATTTTGTTAGCAGTTTGTGTGGTGTGTGTGTTGTAAGTATGTTGCATCGATGAGTTAGTATGTTATCAGTGCCTTTTTAGTATGTTGCATCTTTAGTATGTTGCATCATCCTTGGTGTATTAGTATGTTGCATCGATGCATTGGTGTGTTAGTATGTTGCATCGATGCATTGGTGTGTTAGTATGTTGCATCAGTGCCTTGGTGTGTTAGTATGTTGCATCGATGCATTGGTGTGTTAGTATGTTGCATCAGTGCATTGGTGTGTTAGTATGTTGCATCGGTGCCTTGGTGTGTTAGTATGTTGCATCGGTGCCTTGGTGTGTTAGTATGTTGCATCAGTGCCTTGGTGTATTAGTATGTTGCAATCGACATTTTTAGTATGTTACTTGGTGTGTTAGTATGTTCTCATGCATTGGTGTGTTAGTATTGTTGCAGTGCCTTGGTTTTACATCGGTGCATTGGTGTGTTAGTATGTTGCATCGGTGCATTGGTGTGTTAGTATGTTGCATCGGTGCATTGGTTTTAGTATGCATCGGTGCCTTGGTGTGTTAGTAATTTGCATCGGTGCCTTTGGTGTTGCATCAGTGCCGTTAGTATGTTGCATCGGTGCCTTGGTGTGTTAGTATGTTGCATCGATGCATTGGTGTGTTAGTATGTTGCATCGGTGCCTTGGTGTGTTAGTATGTTGCATCGGTGCCTTGGTGTGTTAGTATGTTGCATCGGTGCCTTGGTGTGTTAGTATGAGTTGGCTGATGGCCTAGGCTTCACTAGAAGAAATAGGCGGGGTGACGTGTCCCCATGTTGGTTCCATGGCTCCCATTTTGGTGGCGGGGGGGGGGGGGGGGGAATCAACCCGCTGCTTCTTAAAAAGTATGTCATAAAAAAGCTACCAAATTTGGAGTTTGCTGAATTTAAATGTGTAGGACCAGAAGATACAGATGTCAGTCTAGTTGTAAACCACAAAATCAACATGCCAGAATGTTAAAACACATTCTGAGATGAAGCAAAGAATAACAATAAAGGCATTGAAATGGGAAACTGTGGGGATTGGGAGAGCAAGAGTCTAAGAGAAAGAAACCCCACAATTAATGTTGATGAGAGAGAACAGAGGGGCTGGACTGGATTTTAAAAACATATGATATTGAATAGATTGCACATATTCTGTATTCACTCTTTGAGTCCCAGGGGGTTTAGCATCACAGGCCCAAGGGGTAGTCAAGAGAGACGTAAAATTGGAGCATCATGCGTTCCTTGGGCCTCTAGGTAGGAATCTATGAACCTATGATAAGTTCCTTGGGACTCAGAGAGTTAAGTAGATAATGAACATCAGTCTTAATAGTGCTCTTGACAGAGCTCATCAACGATTGTCACATCTTCCCCCCAACACTTCGCTGAGGTACAAGGTGGAAGAGAAGAAGAAGACAATCCTTGCAGCCTTCTGCTGGCTTGAGAACCAGGTGCACACATATGTCGTGATTGTAACTGACTCACAGAGCATGTTGAGGAAAGATGGAGACAGGCATGCTCCATGTGTGAGAACCAGGTGCACACATATGTCGTGATTGTAACTGACTCACAGAGCATGTTGAGTAAGAAGGAGACAGGCATGCTCCATGCATGAGAACCAGGTGCACACATATGTCGTGATTGTAACTGACTCACAGAGCATGTTGAGAAAGATGGAGACAGGCTTGCTCCATGCGTGAGAACCAAGTGCACGCATATGTCGTGATTGTAACTGACTCACAGAGCATGTTGAGGAAAGATGGAGACAGGCATGCTCTGTGCAGAGTGGCAAGCATCACTTCAGAACTCCTGGTAGTTAGTGTACTTTGGACATTTTCTTCAGTATGTCTATGTGTTGCCGTGTCCGTGGCTTTGGTCTTGCGAGTCTAACTCCTAATTCCAACGTACCATGATCAAAACCCACTGCTGGCTGCGTGGATTCTTTTCATGGTATGTGCATCTCAGGTCGACCCAGCCTAAAATGAGTACCAGGATGGCTGTCCTGGAAAGGTAAAGATGGCCACTGTAATGCCGACCACATTACCCACCTAGTGCAGATTGGTCTGTAAAAATATGGGTGCTCTTACCAAAGGCCTGATCCCCCTAAAGGCACGAAAAGGGATCTTTACTTTTTTACTTTTATATCTATGTGTTGGGAAATGAACAAGCAAATAGACTGCCTGGAACAGCACCACTTGGTGGTAAACTGATTCATGACAAGCTAGGTGTTGTAAGGGCTCTTTGAAAGCCAAGAAAAAGTGAGGAGGCTCAGAGACAGATCATCAGTCCAAAGAGAATGGTGGGGTGAGGAGGCTCAGACATTTCATCAGTCCGAAGAGAATGGTGGGGTGAGGAGGCTCAGACAGATCATCAGCCCGAAGAGAATGGTGGGGTGAGGAGGTTCAGAGACAGATCATCAGTCCAAAGAGAATGGTGGGGTGAGGAGGCTCAGACATTTCTGAAGAGAATGATAGGGTGAGGAGGCTCAGAGACAGATCATCAGTCCGAAGAGAATGGTGGGGTGAGGAGGCTCAGACATTTCATCAGTCCGAAGAGAATGGTGGGGTGAGGAGGCTCAGACAGATCATCGGTCCGAAGAGAATGGTGGGGTGAGGAGGCTCAGACATTTCATCAGTCCAAAGAGAATGGTGGGGTGAGGAGGGCTCAGACAGATCATCAGTCCGAAGAGAATGATAGGGTGAGGAGGCTCAGAGACAGATCATCAGTCCAAAGAGAATGGTGGGGTGAGGAGGCTCAGACATTTCATCAGTCCGAAGAGAATGGTGGGGTGAGGAGGCTCAGACATTTCATCAGTCCGAAGAGAATGATGGGGTGAGGAGGCTCAGACAGATCATCAGTCCGAAGAGAATGGTGGGGTGAGGAGGCTCAGACAGATCATCAGTCCAAAGAGAATGGTGGGGTGAAGAGGTTCAAACAGATCATCAGTCTGAAGAGTATAGTGGGGTGAGAAGGGATCAGGAAATCTTGCTGATGCTCAATGTTGATGGGAGGGATTAGGCAGACAAACAATGCAAACTCTTACTGATACCATCAGAATCGGAACTCTTCACTTGCTGCTGAAGATGGGGATAAGGCACTTATAGGAATGTCCTAAATACTATATTTTATGATCTTAGCTCATAGACTGCACAAAATAAAATAGATGGAGCGACTGTAAGTCTTATGTTAAACAGAATAAATGTAATCTGTTGATTGTTAGTAATGAAGCTTTCAATTTAGCTAAGGTTATCATATGTCCCTTTTTTCACCTTTGTGTGAGGGGGCGGGGGTGGAAAGTGATTTGCTTGGAATGTCCCATTTTCAGCTCAAAATATTAGTGGGATGTCCAGTTTTCAGCTCAAAATATTAGTGGGATGTCCAGTTTTCAGCTCAAAATATTAGTGGGATGTCCAGTTTTCAGCTCAAGATATTATGGTCACCCTGCAAATAATAACAAATATTTATACTGTCAGATTAAAAAACTGAACAAATAAAATTATTTTTTTCTCCTTTCAGAGTCGTGCAGATCTTGGTGATACAGTATACAGTGCTGTACAGCTGGCTGCCAATGTAACAGCTGCTTCACAGTATTCCACAGACAGGAAGATGCCAGTTCTTAAGTCCAAAGTTGCAAGTAAAGGCACCAAAGAGGCTTACTATGCATACAAGGATAGTTACTGATATCTGACTCCACTCACCCCATAATTTAACCTGCCAACAGACCTGAGCTAGCATAGTAACCTGACGTATTAAAAAAGATAATATATATATGTTTTCTGACAGAAGAATCAAAGAAGAAGAAGGTAGCATTTATAGAAGCATAATTTAACTTCACACACTGAAACAGATTTTGTCATATGACCCTAATTTAATCGCACACACTGAAGAGGATGCAGTAGTAGCAGCATTTAAATTCAATCTCATACATTGAAGATTATACATTTATAGCAGTATAATTCAACTTATAGATGAATGATAACACCTTGGACAGATAAAGAATAATGAACATGTCTTGAAATTAATTTACAATGGGAACTGATTATCCACATTTGAAGGAGACAATCTACATTGTTTGGTTTGGTCATGCCATTAGGACCAGAACTAGAGTACAGTGTGAAGTGGGAAATCGGAAGGGAAAAGGGACAGACAGAGACCAAGAGAGAAGATGTTGGATAGTTTGACATCATGGCATAGAGATCATCTGTGTTGGAAATAGAGGAAAATACATGAGAAAGACTGGATTACCTGAATGTGAGCACCAGATTACATGGACCAAAAGAAGAAGAATTTAACTTCATACACAGATGGATTTAGTTATAGAAGCTGTGTAATTCATCTAAATATTCTAATGAGACTCTTACCAGTACACAGGATGTCTCATAAGTTTCTGTACATAGAAACAAAATAAGCATATCATCAGCACCATACAAGCATAACTCCTTCTACACAAATATATGTTCTTCAGTAGTGGAGGACACACATGGAACTGTGTTTTAAAAACGATGGTAGTCATATATTATATAAATAAAAATGCTTTTAAAAAAATGGTAATTTTTTTTCCGATGTATGGAAACTTATGAGACACCACCTTGTATAGCTGTCTTTGCTGTCATTGGTCTAATAACACCATGTTGTGAAGTCCTTGAGTTACTGCTTACTGTTTGCCATTTTAATGAAACAGTTGGTGAATGAGGTACAATTGCAAAGGTACACACAGTGAGAAGGCATTGGTTAATAAACTAAAATTCCTAATTGGGCAGAAATGAACCTATTTATTAGAGTTCTTTAGTAGAAAAGAGTCTTGTAGATCAAGGCTATTCACCTGATGGCCTGTGGACCAAATCTGGCCTGCGGAGGCCTAGCAAAAGGCCCGCAGATAATTGCCAGTTGGATTACATTAATGATCATTCTATGCTCGGGCATCTGGCCGGTAATGATCCGCATTTTCAAAATGTTGGCCCATGAGTAAACTTTGTTGAATATCCCTGTTGTAGACTGTGCAGAACAAATTAAAAGGCACTGATAGGTTTATATATAGATCAGGGTAGAGACGAAGATAGTTAGAAATCATCAGGTGTAAAAAAGAAGGCTTGTAGACTGGGCAAAATGAACAAAATGACAAAACAAGAATTTGCAGGAAAGTTCAGATTGAGTAGTTAAAAACAAAATGATTAGAGTGCATCAGTAGAGGAACATGCTTAAAGACTGTGTAAATATTAACAAAATAAATGGTTTAGGGCGTTTAAAAAAAAAAAAAAGGCATATACAAAACAAAGACAAGGATGTAGAGCACAGGGGAGACCAGGAGCAAGATGGAAAGATGAGTGGTCGAGGCGCCAGAAAAACCAGAAACAGAACCTTTTATCTCCCTTAACGCCCAAATCAGTAAAAGAGGAAGTGAATGTTGAATTAAGAATCGACATCATAGCCCTCAGGACACTCCCATAAGTGCTAAGTTCTTATTTTCAGCAGCAAATGAATTCCAATTCTGACGACACCAGTAACTGTCTGATTGTATATCGTCTCGCCTTGAGTAAAAGGAAGTGAAGAAGAAGAATAGTTTAAATAACATTTGAGGTGGCTTTGGACATTGAGAAGTTTTGGATAAGATGGTAAGGTGTAAATAATCAAACTGATTACAAATTATTTCAGAAAAGATGTAAGACAATATTACCGCTGACTGTTAGTATTCATATTCCCCAAGTGGATTAATTTTTCTTATTCAAATTCCCCAAGTGGATTAATTTTTCTTTGAATTATGTTATTGTGTTCTCTAATATATATTTTCCATTTTTATAAGTGCACATAAGTACTGGTAATTTGTAATTTAATGTTTCAAATAATAAAGGTAATTACAATGTTGTACTGTGTATGTGTGTTTAATTTGAATTCGGTTTGGCTGTTTCATATGTTGCACAGACCAATACATTCATTAGTTATAGCTATCACAGTGCAAACTGGCAAATCTGTTAAACCTAAGTGACAAACAACCACAAGTTCTATTTCTCATCAAAGAGCACTCTGTCACTCTTAGGGCTGTTAACTCTTTTGGTACCATAATCCTATGGATACAAGGCATGGACTCTTAATTCATCTTTGAAGAGGAAAATATGAGGTTTTGAACTGAAATACACAAAAATTCTTAGAATACAGTTGACCAAAAAGAAATTACATGATCTGAAAATCAAGATGTGGTTCATAAACAGCATCCTCTCCTGAACGGTATGATTTTGTCTGTTAAACGTTATGGTATCCTGGTGAGAATGATGATGGAGGATGCAGTTTCTAGAAAATGCAGCACAGCTGACCTCCACAAAGGTGGATACAGAACATTGACTGTGAAAACATACAGGGTTAGAGAAGAGACTTTGTGGTGTGTTCTGATGTTCTGTGAAGTTATGTTATATTATCACAATTGACATCACTGCACACTGGGCATTCCCTCAATTCTCAGTTCTGTAAAGGACCTGCTGATTGGTGATGATGACGATGGTGACACTAGTTACTTTCTAATCAACTGGTGGCCTAAGGAGGCCTAGCAAGTGGCTTGTAAATCATTGCCAGTTTTATTATATTAACGTTCTTTTAACGGTGGGATTCCAGCCCGTGACGATCTCCATTTTTAACTGTTTGGGATGAATCTTAGTTGAATAGCCCAGCACTTTAGCTGATAACATCGCAGCAGTTGCTGCATTAAATAAATAAATCCTACTGATGCAGTGTCAAATTCGTTGGACTTGTCATCCTCTTACTTCCCTACCCTCCACGTCTACCTGACTGGATTTTAAAAAGAATTTTAACTTCAGTTTGGTCACGGGCCAGCTGGCCATGTGTTGAAGACGACACTCGCGTCCCCCAGTATGTAACTTAAAACAACACACCAAAAAATCAATAAAATACATTTATTTATTTACCGAAATTAAGCAAAATCTACAGTAAGATGAAAAAAATTTATGCTTTTGTATACCTCCACTTTATTTATATTTGAAAACTTTATTTTTAAATTGCAGTCTTTGATAAGATCCTCAAATATAATATGTAACACATCTGCTTCTATACTTAATGGAGATAAGACATCTAGTCCATTTTGTTAAAGTGTTGTTATGATGGGATTTTGTAATATACTTTCGCCAAAAAAAAAAAAAAAACACTCACCTCCAAGGCTATTGAACATTTCTGCGGTGCCCCTCCATTCGTGATGCCCTAAGCACGTACTTAGTTTGCTTAATAGCTATTCCGCCACTGAACAGAGGAATAGTCCTTTAACTGGGACCATAGTCTAAAGGGTAGAGGTTTACATAAATTGTTTCACGCTACTAACAGATATAGTCACATAACAGACGAACCTAAAATCCCTTGTAACAGAAAACTGTTTAGACTACAACTTTATATATACAATTAACTAAGAGGCAGTGTATTGATCAGCACTCATAGAAAGTTAAAGGGACACACTAGACAACATAGAAATCAAAATATTACCATGCCGGGAATTGAACTTGTCACCTCCAAATGGCGTGTTTGCACCTCGCCATGGAAACAAGCGTACAGTTGAAAACATATTATACATAGATATTCCTAGTGGTCTGCTTCACCAGATCAAGCAATTTTTTTTTTTACTATAACTCTTTCTTCTTCTTTTTCGCGTTCACCAGCTGTAAACTTCTGGTTATTCGTCCACTTCTGGACTGCAGTCCTTTTTCAGAACCTGAGTGTTGCGTGTGCATCTGTTTTACAGATCTGACTCATTTGTATGCAGACTGCTGGTTCCTTGCCTCTCAGGCAGATGCACTCCGACTTCGAAGGAAGCTCCCAGTTAGTCGACTCTTACGACATGCTTTTGTGCAGACATTGGGTCTATTCTTGTTTTCCCTATAATGGGGTCTCGGAACCCCCACTGGGATCACTAGAATCAAAATCCATGTATAGAAGGATGCGACTTTTTTTTAATAGCGATAATAAACAGTACGCAGGCCTAGTAAAAGGACTTTTCCCCCTGCCTTCAGACGTATTGGGCACATAGGGCTAGACCTATATTTTATGTACGAATCGGCATTTGGTCACAATCGACACATTGGACTGCAAATTAATTTGTAGTCTTTTTGTGGGGTCCCAGTAAAAATGTGCTATATGACTATGCGGTTGAACATGTTCAAATGGACTTATACCTGTTCAGTCATCATCCTTGATTTGGCACTTTTACAGTCATGGGAGGACAATCCTTTTCCACGCATTCTGGCTTATTGGGCATATAGGGCTAGACCTATATTTTATATACAAATCAGCATTTGGTGGGTAATGTGAATATCACACCGGTCGCCTTTACTTCCCAGGACTTCACCTAGTACCCATTCAAGGCTGGGTCGATCTGGGAGCCACGGTCATTAGTCAAAAAAGCCCGGCACGGCCAGGATCCGAACTCATGACCTTCCGATCCGTAGGAGAGCGTCTAACCGCAACACTACGGCGTCTGCACTGGTATTACGGTACCTGCTAGAAAATACACAGACGCCAGTGTGAACAATCGCGTATTACTGTCGTTTACCTTAAGATATCCTATTATTTCCCCTTAGCTCTCTCAGTACCTAGTGTCAGTTGAATTTGTCTCCCCTAGTCTCATCACTGGGTTAGCCCTTTCAATTTTAGACCGTTTACAGTTCACTTGCACAGGTTTCTCGCTGTGT